ATGGTAAGGAAGTGATTAAAGGGCTGGTCACATAAATTTCTGTATAGGGCCGAAAAAGAAGTTCTGTTGAAATCAGCGGCACAAGCCATCCTGAATTTTGTATAGCGGTCGTTTGTCTCTGTTAGGCTTGTGTGAAGAGATTTAGAGACTGATGTTTAATTTCTGGTGGGGATTGAAGCATGATGGAAGAAGGAATATGCACTGGTAGTCATGAGAAGCAATGTACAGGTAGAAATATGAAGGTGGGTTGGGTTTTTGACGACTCTCGATGTTTAACACAACACTATTAAGGAAGCTTTTCTAGAAGTTATTTCGAGACTCGACATTTTTGGTGGCTAGAACTCTGAAAGTAAAATACTTTCCTCATACCGATATTTTTCATGCAAGTCCGAGTACCCGTCCTAGCTTTACATGGAAGAGTTTGCTTTTGCTGCTAGATTTACTGCATAGTTGAATGAGATGGGTGATTGGAATAGGGAAAAATGTATGAATTTGGCATGATCCTTGGCTCTCGTAGAAGATCGATTGCTAATGTACAGGGCTCATGCATAGCAGAATTCGATAATCTGACGGTTAGTGAACTTATGAGTGAAGATGACTCAAGCTATAACACAGATATGGTGAAAAGATTGTTCTTAGAAGAGGAAGCCAATCTAATTTTGAGTATTTCTTTTAGTATAAGAAATAGAAAAGACCAGTGCATCTGGGGGCACTCATCTGTTGGTCAGTTTACAATGAAGTTTGCTTACAAGTGCCAAATTGACTCTTGGGAGAGTGAAAATTCGAGAACAATGCAAGTTTGGAAGCATATATGGAGAACATACGTTATGCCTGAATTGTGAAACTTTATGTGGCATTTCATGAATAATATATATTACCAGTGAAGGAAAGGCTAAGGGAGAGAGGGATTGGTGTTCGTACTAGTTGCCGCTGATACAGTCAGGAAGAGAGTCTCAGGTATATATTCTTCGAGTGTAACAAAGCTAGAGGTTGCTGGCGGCTTTTGGGATACCAAGGTTTGGCTTCACATTTTACGGATGCTATGAGTTGGGGGGGACATTTTGTTCCGCTCCTTGCCAAGTTAAGGTGCAGCTGAAGTATTTTGCCTTCTATGGCGGCCGTAGCAAGAACGAAATTACCTTCTCTGGTCTGGAAAAGTATTTGTAAACCACTCTTCTGTCTTTCTAATACGGAAGTATCTGTGTGAGTGACAGCA